TGGCAATTGCCCCAAGGCGCGCAGGTGACAAAAAAAAAAAAACGCTTTTGGGAGCCCGCCGAGGTCTCCCACGGCCCGTGTCGCCCCGTGACACAAGCTTTCGGTTGCCGCGTTAGACCCGGTGACGAAGGCGGCGACAAGTTCGGCAGGTTGCCGTGTCACGAGCGAGGACCTCGGCAGGCTGTCGTGCTTGGGCGAAAAACGGAAAACACTGTGAAGAACGAAGTCCTCTGGAACTCGGGAACTTGGCCGCTTTTGCGCACTTTTTCGGCCCAAAAGAGAGCGGTGACGAAGCGGTGACAAGTGGTGACAAGCTCGGCGGGATGGAACTTGCCAGCTTTTCCGGGCAGAAAACGGAAATCAAGAGCTGCGTGAGCGTCTGGAGCTGTTTTCGGCCGAAACCGAGCGAGTCTAGAGGCTGAGGCACCCCACTTGCCGTCTGACACGAAAAAACGAACTTTTCGGAGTTGGCTGTTTTGAGCACTTTTTGCACCAAAAACGGAGCGGTGACAAAGACCGGTGACATCGGAAAAACGTTCAGCGGGATGGAGAATTTGGCTGTTTTGCAGGGTTTTTCGACCCAAAAACCAAAATGAATTGGTTACTATAAGCCTTACTTCCTTACTACTGAGGGATAGCTCCGCAGAGGGATGCAGGACAGGGAATGGACACGTCCCTCCTGCATCCTCGAGCGCAGGGCGATTCGGCCGATCGAGTTCCCCCTTTTTATGACTGGTCCCCTCTTGGCTTGAAGCAGTGAACAGGATTCTAACAAGCATGTCATTTGCGTTGGGGGCAAAGCAGAGATAGCTGTTTCAGCAAGTTGGGGATCCATTTGTTTGCTTGTGCAAGTGGAACAATCGAAAACCAACAGCTGGAATGTTTTCTGCCACCCATGTCAAGGAGCAGGGAGAAAGAGGACTGGATTCATCAAGCGATCTAAAAACCTTGTTGAGAGGAAACCATGTCGCCGACAAGGGCCAACACCAGCGAGCATGTCGTTTCAACTATGATTCAACACGCGTTGTACGTTGATCCATGCGAATTCAAGTCTGATGATGCTTCGGCTGTGCCAGAGAAGCTTGTTGGGAACCCAGGCCGGACAGCCAGTTTCCTTGATCGACATCACAATGTGCCTCCCTTCCAAAGCCTTCCGCTGCGCCTGGCTTCGGCCAAGCTGCAAAGAAATCATTGAGAAAAGGCCACGTAGCCTCAAGTAGTCTTGAAGATGATGCAGCGAACACTGGCCGTGGCCTGTGTCGAGATCCCTCCTTGACAGGAGCCACAGGACTCATTGAGAAGCTTGCGGCCAAGAACATCAACCTTGAGGCGGTTGACAGCGATATGCTTTTGCACGAGCCATGTTAAGAACTGTGGATGTTGGGTCGGATGTTTTGGGTTAGTTTGAAAGCCACGTATAAAACACACGTTTTTGGGGGTACGCGAGGGAATATTGTGGTGGGCACTGGGCTTGTGATTCTGGCTTGCTGATTTACTCTTGAAATTCTTTTGTAGTAGGATCTGGTTTGAGGAACGTTTTTGGGCAAGACTTCTTTGGAAGGGGCAATGCTATGTGCGAATTGTTTATGTGCTGGTTTCAGGTTTCAAGAAGCTTGGCAACACTACTTCAAAAAGGCAACTTTTGGTTTCGCATTTGCATCTATTCCCAAAAGTGACCCAGGCTATTAAGTTTATTTACCCAGACCATCGGCTTGATTTAGCGTGAGGAGCCTATTTCTTTGCTGGGGTCAGCTTTAGCTGGGACCGTTTTTGAACATGTTGTGCAACAAGCCAATGTATTTGTTGTTTGGTCCGCTTTAGAAAGCTACTGGCGCCAAAGAATGGAAAAAAACAATCATTGTTTAGGGCCCGTAGCTTCATTTGGATTGGTTTCTGTTAGTACCACATAACTTTGTTGGGGGTACCCATTTTGGGATGTTTGTTCAGAAGGTGTTGTATGAAGGAATTATGATGACCATGTTCCACAAATGTTTGATGTGCGGTTGGCCTCATAAAAGGAAGCTAGCACTGGCGGAAATGATAAGGATTGAAGCAATCGTTAGGAGGCAATACACGCTTTGCTTTGTTAGGACAGTTTTTGGTAATGCGACATGACTCGAGGTGGGGGGGCTGATTGCCTGAGGTTGGTTGAGAAGGGTTGAAACAGGCTTTGTTGAATGCATTACCCCATCAAGAATATGAAGGTTGGCTTTATGAAGGGAAGGTGTAACTTCGCCAAAAATTAGGATTAAACAGGCCCTTCGGAGCGGGGTTTGCCATGGGGTCGGATGAGTTGGGTGAAGCAGAATAAGGTTGGAGATGGGGTAAGAACTACTTAGGGGCAACAAACCATGGCTTCACTTTAGGATTTATAATGTTCCCGGCTGGCAGGTTGCTTAGCTTTGTTCAGGGTCAATATCTTCTTTATAAGTGGGCGTTACTCGTTCGACTCTTGCTACTTTGTTTCTTTTGGCCTGCTCCAACTAAAATTATGCAACATGCCTACTGTTTTTGAGTTCCAACATGTTTGCTTGGGCATTTAAGCATATGTGCCTTGATGTGCCTTGATTCTGCTAACCCCCTTCCCTTCCCATGGGGTGCCGAGCTGAGCGTGGCTTGCGCCAACTTTGAAATGCATGCGCATGGTAAACGAAGGCTGGCCCCCACTGGCGTGGCTTCCCACCAAGATCATCTCGCTTCCGGGCTACAGTTGTGTAAAATCTGCAAACTTCCGGCAGCCCACCTTGATACAGTGGTAATCTTTGAGTAAGAAGGGTCTTTGTAAGATACATTAGTATTGCAGTCCTTTTGGTTTCGGGCATGGTTACTTAGTCCTTTCAAAAACCGCTCTTTTTCATTGCATTTATATTGTTCGCGTGTTTTTGGTCAATTGTATTTTTGGGGGCTTTGTTTTTTGTTTCGCCGCTTTTCTCGCCACGGACCGTTTGTGGCAAAGCTGTGGCAAAAAAAAAGTGTGGCAAAACTGCGGCAAAACGTTTCCCCTTTACTTTGGTATTGAGTTTTGCCACAGTTTTGCCACAAGGGTTTTGCCACAGTTTTGCCACAAAAAGAGTTTTGCCACACAAGTTTTGCCACAAAATAAGTTTTGCCACAAAAACACACAAAAATACAATTGCGATAAAAAAAGAGCGGATTTTGAAAGGACTAAGTAACCATGCCCGAAACCAAAAGGACTGCAATACTAATGTATCTTACGAAGACCCTTCTTACTCAAAGATTACCACTGTATCAAGGTGGGCTGCCGGAAGTTTGCAGATTTTACACAACTGTAGCCCGGAAGCGAGATGATCTTGGTGGGAAGCCACGCCAGTGGGGGCCAGCCTTCGTTTACCATGCGCATGCATTTCAAAGTTGGCGCAAGCCACGCTCAGCTCGGCACCCCATGGGAAGGGAAGGGGGTTAGCAGAATCAAGGCACATCAAGGCACATATGCTTAAATGCCCAAGCAAACATTTTGGAACTCAAAAACAGTAGGCATGTTGCATAATTTTAGTTGGAGCAGGCCAAAAGAAACAAAGTAGCAAGAGTCGAACGAGTAACGCCCACTTATAAAGAAGATATTGACCCTGAACAAAGCTAAGCAACCTGCCAGCCGGGAACATTATAAATCCTAAAGTGAAGCCATGGTTTGTTGCCCCTAAGTAGTTGTTACCCCATCTCCAACCTTATTCTGCTTCACTCAACCCATCCGACGCTATCACCATGACAAACCCCGAAGGTTAATTCCAATCTATAACAAATTTCCAGCTTCCGCTCAAAAAACTAACCAAGAGTCATTCTTGATTCGTGTGTTGGTTTATGTTTATACGCATGTGTATGTATGTGCAACCTTCTGTGCAGACGCTCCTACAACAATCAGCCACGGAGCCCTCACAAAGTCATGTAGTGCTACGCAAACCAGCCGTGGCCGACAAAACAACCCACATGCACACAGTGTGGCGGAAACAAACAACACCGCGTTGTTTGTGTGTGGAACTAGGGGAATGGGCCCTGTAGCTGCAATCTCGCCACGCTTCCGGAAACTGTGTCTCGAATATTCGAGTGATGTGTCGTGTTCTGGGCTAATTACCACTTGCATTCGACGCATCCGCTGTCCGCGTTATAAAACCATTCTGTTTCCCGCTCCATCGGGCTTCATCTCGCCAGCTTCGTTGCTGTAGCTAAGGATAAAGATAATCTTGACAGGCCTTCCCTAGATCTTCCATCGTAAGAACGCGAAAACCTATCGTACGCGGGCTGAGGCTGAGCCTGTCTCGGCTTGACGGCCATTAACTTGCTTTTCGCAGACTTGCAGTTGTGTTTTGTTTTGCATTGGGTAGTGATATGTACAACATGTTTGTTTAAGGGTGCCCGAAGAGCGACCCTATTTGGTAGGTGCCCAAGTTGGCTGCCAGAGGCGCACCCCGCATGCTTTTAACATACCTCGCGCAAAAGCATAGACAGCGCTTGTTGTTCTGGCTTCGTGCAGTCAACATCAACCCGCCGGCATGAGACGTCTTCTTCCAGCCAGCACAAAACAGAAGAACGCCGCAAGTTTCTTGCTCGACATGTCATCCCCTTCCCACAACAGGCCCCGCCCCCCCTCCCCAAACTCCCCCAAAAGCCCCTAACTCCCCCCACCAGTCCGAATGAAGGTGCAGAAGCGCCCAACCCCCTCGTCGGCCTCTTGCGCTCCGGCGGCCCGAGAAATGGCGGCAGGACCCGTCCTTCGGCGCATGGCGCATGTTTCGAGGGTATCCTTAGGGTTAGCCTGAAGGAAACAAAATGGACACCAATCCTTTTCTTGCTCCCTATCTTTGACATTTGGACTGCGTTTTGCAGCTTGCTATTTGGCAGCGCGGGTCAACATGATTGTCGCAAATGCAGGATTTGCAGGTTTGGCTGTAAGTTATTGTATAATGTGATACGGCTCACTGACCGATGGGTGCTTCGTCATTTACACGTGGCCCAGTGCTTCATTGATAATATTGGTGTCAAATCACTTTTGGAACACAGCTGCGCATGTTGGCTCTCGTCCCTTTGGTTGGAAGCTACGGGTGGGAGTGCTGTTGCGATGGCTTCGCCTGCCTTGCGTTTCGGCGGTGACATTGCTTGGCCTTTGCAGCGGGTCCGCAGGTGACTGTCATTTTGGCTTCATTGCCTTGAATTGAAAGATGGCAGGAGCGGCCGAGCAACGGTTTCTGTGTTTGATGATCCTGGCCAGATCCCTCAGTGCAGCAGGATTGGGCCTCCTTGTCAGTGCCTCCGCGGATCTTCTTTACCAGCTGATGCGGCAACGCTCGAGCGCGCAGGTTCACCAGCGCGTGCAGCGAGCCTTGACCAATGTCGCCACACTGTCGACACTGCTGGATTTCTTCTTGGCGCCGGCAATGGGACGCTATATGGACACGGTGGGACGCTTGGCTACCATGATGCTGGCCCTCGGCTGCTCCGCCGGTGTGCGCCTGTGGCTGGCAGCAGCGCCTTCCCTGCCGGTGTACCTCTTCTATCGTGTCCTGGTGTCTGTCACCGGGACTGCTTGGTTTGGAGCCAGTGCCGCGGCCATGAGCGACGTCTTTGGAAGGGGCACGCCTGGCTTTGCAGAGGCGTCAAGCCGGGTTCGGCGCTTTGCGCTGGTGGCGATGATGGCGGGGACATATTCGGGGCGCATGATCAAGGCACCGAGGCACGCTTTTGCCATCGTGGGCTTGGTGCAACTGCTTGCTTTGAGCACAGTGGGGTGCATGAAAGAGACATTGAAAGCTCCAGCGGCTCGGCCTCAGGGCTCCTTCTGGTCCTTCTTCCGGCAAAGCCAGGCTCTCCTCGGCTTCGCAGTGCTGAACACCGCCATGGAGCTTCCGGGCCACGTGGGGAACCTGAGCCAAGTGCTGCGGCGCCAGCGGTTTCGGCACTGGACCACCGCGGCGGAGTCCACGCACGTGCTGCTTTTGCAGGTGGCGGCGGTGGTGAGCACCTACCTGCGGCCCAGGGTGCTGGAGTTGGGCTTCGCCTCTGCAGCGCGCCTGGACTGCTGGTGCGGCGCCCTGATCTCGCTGAACAGCGCCCTGGCGCCCGCGGCCGTTTTTCTGGCGCTGAACCCGGTGCTCGCGTGCCTGCAATGCGGGGACCTGGCGGTGGAGCTGTGCATGGAGCGGGAGGCCGCGGCCTTGAACCTGGGCACTGGAGCACTGAAGGCCCGCTGAGGGGCTGAGGGGCTGAGGGGTTGAGGGGCTGAGGGGCTGAGGGGCTGAGGGGCTGAGGGGCTGTGGGAGGGCTGATGCTCATGGCGTATTTGGTTCAGTTGAGGGGAGGTGGATGTGAGGTGCGTTTGGAGGATGAATCCTCTCACCAAATCTACCACAGTTTCGGGCCCACCCATCTTTGTTCGGGCATGGCTTCGGCAGGCCGCCAGCGCCAACCGCGGCTTCGTGCCCGCGCTGGTGATGCCGCGGCTCTACGGCGCCCTGTACTCCTGGCGCCCGGAGGCGCCCTTTTTGGTGGCCAGCGCCTTGTCGCTGCTGGCGGCCGAGGTGGTGGGGCCCTGGGCCTTCGGAAAAAAAGGCGAAAAAAACCGGGCGCCAAACGCCGCGGGCGTTTTTTGTGGGCGTTTTGTGGGTGCGGCTTCGTGTGCGGGGGGACCCCTTTTTTGAGGTATTGGGAACTTTTGGGATTTGAACAGTTCTGAACATTTTCTGTCTTTGCTGAGCTTGCAATAACGGCGCTCGCTCGACAGGATTTGGGAATCAGGGCCGCGAGAAGACTCTGAGAACGTGGCTGGAATCGACCAGGCCTGATCGTTTGAGTGCAGGACTTTCCTACACGTTTGAAGGTCAACTTCGCCGCACCATTTCCGATGGAGGGTGTGAGCTTTTCTGCATGCATGAAGAGAGATAGTTTCAGTCTTACAGAGACAACCAGACGCTACCCTTCATTGTCAGTACCTTGACTTGATTTCACAGAATCTGTGCATGCATCATCAGGGAAGCCTTTCTTTGTAAGGCCAGTAGGATTTCGGCTACATTGCCTTTGTCTATCTTGTTAGGGCTGCCGGTTCTTTTCTCCCATAGCTCAATCAAAATCCGGTCGGACTGGCGCCATGTGCAAGGCTCACTTAAAGAAATAGGCAGAGCTCCTGGATCCTCGTGTAGCCACGCCTGACTCCTGTGTTGGAATTGATTCCTTCTCGTGTTGCACCTTTTTCGCAGCAGGTCGCTGAAGAAACTGCAAATTATCAAGGCCCATTGCCGTCACCGATGGAGTCGGGACTCCACCATCCTTATCACTTCTCAGCCTTCTTCTTGGCCATGGAAAAGTTGGATGCCGCTCTGTTTCCGTCCTCTTTCAGCTTGCGTTTCCGCTGGGCCTAGACCTCAGCCTTCGCTCTGGCGCTTCTCGTGTCTCCGGCAGTCAGAAGCCTCCCAGTCACTCGCGCGGCCGGGAGCTTTCGGAGTTCCGTCGCAGCAACTCCGCCGGGGGCCTCGCTTGGCGAAAGCCACAATGCAAGCGGTTTTTTTTTTGGCCATGGGGCTGAAGAACATCTAGACCTTGTTAGAGACGTTGAGCGTTTGAACATCTAGGTGTTAGGGAAGCTGGAGGTTAGACACGCTGGAGATTGGAGAAGTTTGAGGTTAGACAGGTTAGAGGTTAGAGAAGTTAGATGGTGGAGGAATTAGAAGGTGAAACCTGTCCGACATCTAGTTTTTGTCTGCAGTACACGCTTTTTGTTGACTAACACAATGCTGCTGGTGGTGGTGTTGACCAATTCAGTCGTTCGACATCCACCTTGCTTGAGCCGAAGACTTGGCCGCCAACCGCTTTTGTCTACGAGCGTGACGACTTCTTGTCAAGGGCAAATAGTTATCTTGATTGTGTCGACGGATTTGGTCTTCGGACGTTGGCCAAGTTGGAGAAGTTGGTATTTGGACCAGTTAGCTGTGTCAAACAATTGCCCGGGCCGGCCCAACAGCTAAGAACACGCCTCGCCCCTTCGCCAGAGGATGGCATGGCTTCGGCAAAGGATTTGTAAGAATCCTTGTGTGTGTTTTTTGGGTTTCAAGTGGACAAGCCGACTAGCATGGCTGGTCAGGGACGCGCGCGCCGACCCTGGAATATTTGCGGCTGGCCACCGCTCACTGACGCCGCTTCCGGCGTCTGCTTCAAGCAGAATCCAAGCCATGATTTTCGCTCTTGTGGGCTGTGCAAACGTACGTTGCACGGCAGGCTGCGCGATGCAGCAGCGTGACAGTAGGAAACGCAGCGGCGTCTGATGCAGCGCACCAGCAATTTGGCCTTTGCTGTTTACCGCTGCCCCAGCTTTCTATCTATCTGTTTTTGTATCTAGCTGACCCCGCTAGCTGCCTCGCTAACTATCTGTGTCGTACAAACGAGGTCGTCGCACCTGTTTGGCGAGAAAAAGAAGCGAGTTGCCAAGAAAAAAAACAATTGTCGAGAAGAGCTGCGCCGTGTTTCGCTGAACAACAGCCGCTGACGTTCCCCTGACTGACGTAGTTTGCGGAAAAAACAGGTCCCATCCTCCAGATAGCTAGCTAGCTATGTTTGTCTATCCGACAGTTTATACATCTAGGAAATGCGTTCTATTTGTCCGTCTATCTTTTGTTCTCTCTATCTTTGTATCCATTTCACTTTCCATTATATATATATATATTTATTTATTTATTTATTTATTTATTTATTTTTAAATCTACGTGCCCATACACCTATCATCTATTGACCATCTCTCCATCTATCGCAGGCTGCGCCTGCCACAAAATCCGCACCTGACCTTGCGAAAGTGCAGCGCCTGCCACGAAATCTGTGCCTGACCTTGCAAAGGGTGCTGCGCCTGCCACAAACTTTGCGGTCTTCCTTGCGAACGTGCTGCGCCTGCGACGAAATCTGTACTTGACCTTGCGAAAGTGACACCTTTACACAATTCGCACGTCTTGAATGGGAGAGACGCACTTACCGTCTTTCCCTCCTTCCTTGATTCCTTTTCCTTCCTGCTCGACATCCCATGTTTCTGTTGTCTGTGTTTCCCAATGCTTCCATACTTCTCTCGGACTTCATTGTTTCCCAGCTTCTTTCTCGTTTCATTTGTTTCCCTGGCTCTCTTTCAATTTGGATCTTTGTCCCCTCCTGAATCTTTGTTTTCAATTCGAACGCAACGGCGCGGTCTTGCGACGCCGCGAAGGAGAATCGGTTTTGACATGGCCTAGTCTTCGCTCCGAAGGCAATGGCTTCATGAATCCGAACAAGGTCGTGGGACCAACATGCGCTTCCGAGTTTCAAGCGCGGAACTCTGCTTGCAAACTCGAGACGGATGCGTTCTGTGCTTCGGCTTCGAGTTGCTTTTGATTGAGCTACTGGGCAGTGGAAAGTACTGTGATGTGTGTTTTGGCATGCATGGTGGCTCAGAATGCATTGTTCTAGTCCGAAAGTGCGGCGGAACATTCCCGGCATTTGGTTTCTCCTCAATTTCCATTTTTTTGCATTCATAACAATCATAATCGCCTGCACCGCACGTAAGAACTTTGAAGGTGCTTGCTCTCCCTTCTGTTTTCTTCAGTTTTTTCTTGTGCCAGTCCAACTTGAATCTCAGTATGTTTCCACGAACGTGAGCTTTCCACATATAGCACTCTTTGAAATTTCCAAAGGCACACAAACCTGGCCGACCTGACGTTGAGCACATGTTTCCCACTCCCGCAAAGTGTCAGCACTGCCGGAATACACAGTTCTGGCAGTCTCCTTATGCTTGCGCGTCCTGCCATGCAGACACCGCGGCTGCTTGCCAGAACCTCCATCCGGGGATCGCGGTTGGCCAAGCGGTCCCTGGTGCAGCTTCGGGCCGAGAAGGTCGCCGCGGGCTCGAAGCTTGGCGCTTTGAAGGCGTTCCTCTCGGCCGCCGGCGGGCTGCTGCTGCGGCGCTCGAAGAGCTCCCGGCTGCAAGATCTGGGCTCCGTCTCCGGGAAGGACTTCGTCCTGCGCGCGCGGGCCGAAAAGAGTCCCATCGCGGTGGACGAGGAGGGGGAGCTGGACCTGAACCCGGGAGGAGAGGATCTGCACGTGCTGCTGGCCGGGCGAGAGGACCACGACTACTTCTGCAGCCCCGTGCCCTTGCGCCTGCGTTTCTTTGGCCAAGTGCCGGAGGTGCGGGTGGGGGGGCAGCTGGCCTTCCCCTTGGTGGGCGCAGACCGGCGTCTGCCCAAGGCTTTTTGGGACACCTTCGCGGCCCAGGCGAGAGGCCCAAAGCGTCGGGGCTTTGCACCAGTCGATCCCTTGTGAAATTTGCGCTCTTCCGCCAGAAGTCCTTCTATTTTTATTTTTGCATGCTTTCTCGTTTGTTGTTTAAACAACATGGGATATCCAGGGCGCCGGACATGATGTTGCGGAGCTGCTGCGTGCCGTGCGCGCCTTTCTGCTGGACCCGGCGGGCTACTTGGGCCTGGCCGACAGCGAAGCGCCGGAGGCGCGGCGCCTGCAGACCTGGTGCCGCGACGCGGCGCGGCTGAACGGGGCGCGCCTGGACGTGGTGAGGAAGTACAGGCCAGGGAGCAGGGTTCCACTGAGGGGCTTTCCATGTGTCCAGTTTGGGATGGGTTCCATTTCTGTCTCATATGTCCAGTTTGGGATGTATCGAAAAGCGGCCTGCCACAGTATCCTGCTTGAAAAGGGAAAGGTCCCAAAAGCAATGTTGAGAGCTCCAAATGCACTTGAAGGGATGTTTTAGGGTAAATTGAGTCAAATAGTACATGGTTGCATTTCAGGCGAGTTGTTCGGCTGGAGGCTGAAGCGGCATATCCCATCTTTTCGGAAGCGTTCAGCTGTGGTTTCTCTTGGGTGGTGTTTTTTTTTGGTTGCGGGGGAATGGTTTAAAGGAAGAGACAAGAGGAATGACGCATTTTACCTTTTCTGGGGTTCCCCCTGTTACTTCGACACATACCCATATGTACCATCATCAATTTGCACAGCAAAGGCCGCATATGGCCTATTCCCCAGCAACACACACAGACACACACACACACACACACACACACACACACACACACACACACACACACACACACACACACACACACACACACACACACACACACACACACACACACACACACACACACACACACACACACACACACACACACACACACACACACACACACACACACACACACACACACACACACACACACACACACACACACACACACACACACACACACACACACACACACACACACACACACACACACACACACACACACACACACACACACACACACACACACACACACACACACACACACACACACACACACACACACACACACACACACACACACACACACACACACACACACACACACACACACACACACACACACACACACACACACACACACACACACACACACACACACACACACACACACACACACACACACACACACACACACACACACACACACACACACACACACACACACACACACACACACACACACACACACACACACACACACACACACACACACACACACACACACACACACACACACACACACACACACACACACACACACACACACACACACACACACACACACACACACACACACACACACACACACACACACACACACACACACACACACACACACACACACACACACACACACACACACACACACACACACACACACACACCACACACACACACACACACACACACACACAACACACACACACACACACACACACACACACACACACACACACACACACACACACACACACACACACACACACACACACACACACACACACACACACACACACACACACACACACACACACACACACACACACACACACACACACACACACACACACACACACACACACACACACACACACACACACACACACACACACACACACACACACACACACACACACACACACACACACACACACACACACACACACACACACACACACACACACACACACATTCATGAGATCATACATGTATCCATATAATCCATCCAACTGCCGCAAAGTGGAGTTTGGCCACAGTATGGTTGCCAGTGGTGTCGTTTTTTTTTTCCCTTTCCACGTAAACCACTTCATTTGCGCCATCGTAACGCGGGTAGAAGGTTGGGGCAGCCCCCAGAAATGGGTAAGTTTCCTGAGATGCGTTTGGGCTTGGACCATCCGGGTGTGTCCTATTTTTCGGGGACCCCCCAAAATGGGTGATTTCCCTTCAAGCCACACCTTTCAAAAGGGCACCATCAAAAGACGTACGCATTTTGATACTGTGGATGAACGAAATCCATTTCGCACCACTTGGAAACCATGATGAACTCTTTGTTGGTATTTACAGAGTCGAATCATTCTGAACGGTGCGAAATGGATCCACACCTTTCAGGTAGGGTACCATCAATAAAAAAAGACGGGCCCATGTTTGACGCCCAGAAAGGGGTTAGCCATCAACAGAAGACTTGAGCCCCTGTCGAATGCCGTTCGGTTGGACTCAGACCTCAGGCCGCAGGCGCGTTTCCCCGAGCTCTTCGACGCCTCCACGTTGAGGCCCGAGTGGTTCCCGGCGGAGACCTGGCAGTGCCTCAATCCGGGCCTCGAGGGCCCGGCGGACTTGGTGGCGTGGTCCCGGATCTTGACGGAGCACGCGCCCAAGGAGGGGAGGAGGGAGGTGCTGCGCTTCTCTCTTGGGCTGTGGAGTGGGAAGGATTTATGTTTTTTGGGCCTCTGGCGTCTTCCTGAGGTTTTGGTGAGTTCCCTCCCAATGGTGGGGGTGAACCACTCAGCCAACTCCTGGGTGCTGGCGAAACCCGGACCCCAAGTGGATTTTCCCATGGGCTTAAAGAGTGCAGTAGTGGTGCAACATTTCACCTCGAGGTTTTAAAGCGCTGCCTTTCTCTTTGTGCCCCTTTTTGCAGCAGAGCTTCGTCTTGGAGGTTTTGGAGCAGATGAGTTTTTCCGAAATCTTCGCACTATCACTTGGAGGAAGGAGTTAGATGAGTTGTTTTTCCGAAATCTTCGCACGAAATATCACCATTCGACTTGTTTGAAGTATTTTTCTGACCCCCGAGGAGGTGTATTCCTTCCCCCTCTTCACCGAGGAGTTCTGCGACATGCTGTTGGAAGAGGCTCATGGGTCGAGGTTTGGACGAATGGACATGTCGTTGATCCGTATGGTACCCCTTTGATTCAAAGGGGAACCTAAAGAAAAATCGTCATTTTTAAAATCGTCATTTTTGGGCTCTCCAAGGAAAAGACACACCCAAGTGTGCAAGTTGAATGTGTGTTTGTTTGATGGTACCGCCTGGTTTGTGGTTTGAAGGGGACACCTGAAGGAACAGCACCATTTTTTGAGGGCTCCCCTGAGAAGACACACGCAGCATCGCCCTCGACATTCTTCCCACGCGCTGCTAGGTGTTCCACTTCTACAGCACGGGGCTGCCGGCCCGGCGGCCCAACAGCATGAACAACTACGGCATCATCTTGAGCGACATTGGGCTGGAGCCCTTCATCGACCAGCTCCAGGGCTTGCTGCAGCCCATGGGCCGCGAGCTGTTCCCGGGCCCGGGGAGCTTGTGGGATGGCCACCACTGCTTCATCGTGCGGTGCTCCGGTTCCTTTTTCCCTTTTTTTCCTCTTCTCTTTTCATTTTTCTTCTTCTCTTTTTTTTTTTTTTGGGTTTTTAGTTGGTTTAGTGGTTGGGTTTTCATTCAGAGAGTGAGAAACTTTTAGTGGATCTGAAAAAACGGACAGCCCAGGTACCGGGAGGGGGAGGATTTGGGCCTCGACATGCACACGGACGACTCGGATGTAACCTTCAACATCTGCCTGGGCTTAGACTTCCAGGGCGCCGGGCTCCAGTTCTGCGGCCAGGCGCCGATTTTGACCGTTCCTAGGGGTTATCGAAGTCAGGAAATTGGGTTGTTTCCCTTTAACCCACAAGTGGGTGACTTTGATCATGGTACAATCATGAGGCCAGTTTGGTTCTGGCAACACGCTAGAAGGCGGTTTGGAGGTGGTTTTTGTGGAACCACCCTGCAGGAAGAGTACTAAAAGAGTACGGGGACAAGCCGTTTTCTAGAAGCACATGATTCCTCGTGGTCAGTCTGGTGCAACCAAGCTGCTTGAAATCAATGAACGCGATTAAGCAGGTTGGGGGTGGACCACTATTGGTTCCCCTGGTTGTAACACATGATGATCCTTGTCTGGTTGTAGGTGCCCCGGGCATTTGGTAACACATGCAACCAACTCGAGTTAGCAAGTGGGTCACAATCAAAACCCGCGTAATTGGAGGGTAGCAAGGGACAATCCCAGCCATAAACGGGTGCGGCCGCCTTGGTAATGCTTTGCACGTTTCCGGGTGGACCACTTTAAAGTTGGCGATGGGGGAACCAGCCTTGATTTTCATCGGGCATAGCCCGCTGAGGCAGGCACAGCGCTACGCTCTGATGGCCAGAAAGAAGAATAAAAGTAGTTTTTTGCAGGGGTCCCAATTCCAGCCAAGTTTACTAGTGGGTTTTGATCGTGCCTCAATTGGAGCTGTTGAAGCTGCAGGTGGGTTCCCCAGAACACCGGCAGCACGCTTTGACCTACCAGCACCGCAAGGGCCACTGCGTGGTGCACTTGGGAAAGAAGCGGCACGGGGCGGACGACATCACGCAGGGCGAGCGGCTGAACTTGATCCTCTGGAACCACTCCTCGGAGTATCGCAAGAGCCGGGGCTACAGGCGCACACTCGGTTTCGACCACTTGGCGGTTCACCCAAATGGCCCAAAAGGGAAACTAAAAGCTGGTGGTTGGACTAGTGCTGGTTTGGGTACAACAAGACCTTGGAAGGTCAAAGGCAGACCAGAAGGAGGTTAGAACTAACGGTGGTTTTTGCATTGATGGCGGAGCCCTGACAGGATGCCGCCATATGCCAAGGAGTCCGCGGCCCCGGATAAGGTGTGCCTCAGCTACACCCACGACAGGGACTTCGGGACGTTCAAAGACTACCCCGAGGGCAAGGGCCACTTCCGAGGTCGTGGCTGGTGCCCGCCCACGCAAGCGGAGTACCCGGGGTTCAAGCCGGAGATGTTCCGCGCCTCGAAGCCCAGGTGAGTTTTCTCCAACTGATTAGCAGGGATGTCCAAGGAGCTACCTCGGCGACCGGGCTCTTGTCCCAGGGCCAACACCAGGCCTAGTGGGTAGGGTCCGGCGCCGGCTTCAGAACAGCTATGTGGCTTCAACAACTTGCAAGTTGGGTGCCGTCAGTCCGCCGGAACAGCATGGCTGTCTGCGTTCGGCTGTGGTACAGATCTTCAAAGCACAGAGATCTGAAAAAGTGGCCACTGAGTCTTGTTTTGTTCCCACCCTGAATGGTTGACTTGTACCTTGTTCGTTCTTTCTCGTCCAGGGTGAATCCAATTTGCCGCTTGCAGCTTGTGGGGCAAGAGCCACCGGTGCCTTGAGCGAAGAGATCGACATGTTGCTCACCCACCCGCGTCCATCACATGTGTGGAGTTCTCTCTCAGGCTCGACCACGATTCTCGGGTGGCAAACACTGGGCTCGCAGGATGTCTGAGCGTAGAATATGCCTTCTCCGAGCAGTAAAAGCCCGGGCATTCGCTTGAGCCACATTCCGCTTACTGCAAGGATCCCGAGGTGAAAGGAGTTGAAAGCGAGTTTCATTGTTCCATGCCATCGAACCTCATTTCCGACGAGCCCCAACTCCAGGAAAAGAAGAAGTGCAAGGCAGATGGCAAGAAACAGCTAGCTTAGCACAAACGCCACGCGAGGACCTGTCTTGCTTGGCGTGCAGCTCCAACTAGACCTTGGATTTTCCTTACCACCCCCTGAAACGACACCCGCATTTGATGGTTTTCTCAAACAAAGCAGCAGGCAAGGAAATGATCGGCGTCAAGCGCGTGGCTGCACACACACTTTGACCCAGTGGTTCGGTTTGGCGTTTCCCAAAACATTTGCTGACCAAAACAAGGCCACCATTGACGGCACTGAACTCCCACACCCCAAACCCAAGCCCCAAGCCCTGAAAATCCCAAGCCCCGGACTCTCTAAGCTCCAAAAAGCACCCCAAAAGACCCCGAACCCCCCCTAAACCCCCGAAACCCCCTGAACCCCAAACAACTTCAAACCCCCTGAACCCGCTGACCTATGAGCCCCGTGTCTTTTGGACCTTTCCCATGTAGTCTCCGTTTCGCTGGCCGATGGAGCCGCTGCCGGCGCCGCCCCGGGCTGTCGCCAGCCTGGCAGCCGGGGCCTCGACGAATCTCCCCGGGTTTCAACGAGCGAGAGGCGGTCTGCGGATGGTGGCGAAATCCAGACATCGCACCACCGAGAAACCCTGGAATCAGTCGATTCTCCTACGTAAATACCAAGAAACGATGGTTTCAAGCCTGGTTTCAGCGTGGTGCGATTTCTGGACTTCGCAGCCATCCACAGTAGACCAGAGGGAGCTTGGGGATCCGATCCAGTTTTGTCAGGTTCTGGAAATGTAAAATGCGCCGATGTCTGCAAAGTGCCAGAGGTGCAACGAGTGAATTTGGTGCAAATGGATGTAAGTGGTTAAGCGGGCACCCTTTGTTTGTGCATTGCTTGTAATGCTCGGGGGCGTGAACAGCACCTGTGCTCAAAGTTGCTCCCGGGTCGACATGCCGATCGCTTCCGCAGGTGAACGGGGATTAGCAGAAAGGTTCGAACCCACATGTTCCCCGTTTGTCCATGCCCAAGTCAGCAGCAAGTGGCGCCACACAACACGCACACAGAGACACGCCAAGTCTACGAGCCATGGTCTGCTTCTCCCTTTGAGGTTTTACGAGTTGGACTCCCCAGCCATGCAGCGCAACCCTCCCCCCCCCCCCCCTGGTGGAAGGTGCACTCGCAGCGGGTCTTCCGGGTCTCGTGCCTCGTCTTTGTCTTCCTGGCCCTGGGGAGCTTGGTGCCCATCGGAGAGCTGAGAGTTGGAGAGCGCCGATCGGATTAACCCGGCGCCGTTTGTCTGGCGCTGGGTGGGTGGAAGGCGAGTTGATTGAAAGGGGAGGCGAAGAGGAAAGTCGAGGCCCATTTTTGGATCTTCTAAACACGAGCCCTGCTTTTTTGAGGCTATCCCGTTTTTACCTCGGGCCAAACCGAACGCCACCCCCAAATGAGGGTCCAAATTCTTATTTGATATAGACCCAAATGGGCAACCCCCGACCTGACACAACTCGTGTCACCCATGACCTGCAAATCATCTGGCACATCTAGTAAGAATTGTGATGAGGTCTGCAAACAGGGTGTGGGTTCCTTTTTCCACTCAGTTCAACTCACCTCAGAAAGGGTGAATGTACTGCTCAAGAAAGACGCACCCATGGGAGATTGACCCTCCAAAACCACACAGGGAACCGGCAAGAGGGTCTGTGTTGGAGGAAAATTGTGTTTTGGCGGAGGATTTGTTTCATCCATGTGTGTGACTGAACAGTGGGTTTCTTCTCCCCTATTGAGGTGGACCCCCTGATGGCAGGCCTCGCTTCCCCACTCTTTTCGCCACCTGGCCACATGGGACTATTTTTCTGGATTCATTTTCGCTTTCAGGCCATGTGGGCTTGACTTTGCTTTGTTTTCGGCCCCACGCTGCACCATGGCCTGGCCTGTGCAGGGATTGACCCCATTTGGACGACTCTTCTGCCTTAAAAAAGGGTACTTTTCGTGAACCAAGCGACGTGCCATTCTTGCCTTGGGTAAGTTGATGGGGATACCCATGTGACGCGTGAATTGCCAATTCGTGACGGACCTGGGATAGTTGGCCATCGCGACAGTACCTGTGGATGGCTAAACTCTGCTCCACCTAGAATGGATTAACCCACCTACCAACTGAAACAGGTTTTTGTTCCATCCACAGCATGTCCGATACTTTGGCCCGCTGGCAGGCCTCCTCTGTTTGTTCCGTTTCCTGCGCGGTCACTGTACCCCACGCAAGACAGCGCAGTTTATACGCCAATCCTGGACAGCCCAGTTTTGTGCATTGCTTCCGGGCATTTCCGTCCAGTTGATTCCAAAAGAAATCAGAGAAGTCAGCCCCACTGGCGCTGGCTGAGTCTGGACTAAAAATTTGACTGGGACGACGCAAAACCAGGTACCCTCCCCATCACGGAAGCTGATGGAAGGGGTTTGGAAGACGAAGGCTTTCCTTGTGGGGAACCTGTCCACTTCCATGATTGGCAAGAGGGTCACGTGGCCAGGTACTGTTCTGGCCGATCCTCATCAAGGAGAATTTCGAGGCGCGGGGATGGAAGCCCAAGGCCTTGGGCCTGGGAAAACCATTCAGTGCCAAGCTCTGAATTGGTGGTGGCTTGAGGATTTGAAGCACTGGCTCTTGAGGGTAAACGACAAACCACCGGGCTCCGAACCACCAACTGGAAGCTGAGCAGAGGTGTGCTTCCACCAGGAAAAAAGGGACCCTGACTCAGTCACCCTTGTGGGGGTTGGCCCCATCTTTTTAGCAACGCCAATAAGCCCGTGGCGTGTTTTGATAGCACTTCCTGGAAAATCCAAGCGCGACCCCCGGTTACCCCTGCCATTTTCTGGTGCCAAGCGGGGCCCGCACGGAGCCTCCGAGCGTCCGAGCGTCCCAAGCTTCCGAAGGCCTACTTGCAATGTGACGGCCCGCAGCACGGCAGGTGGGGATGGATCGAATGGCTCTCGGAGAGAGGGACTGTGGGGTTGCGCTTGGGCCCAAGGCTAGCTTAGACAAGTTCACTGGCAGGGGACGAAGGGCTGATGAACTCCGAGCCCCAATTTCTTATGCCCCTCGAGGGAAACAACCCAGCCAAAACTGAGGAGCCGATTTTCAGCCGCAGACTTGTTGCTGTCAGAGGCGAAGCGCTGCACTCCACTTTGTTTTTTGGGTTTTATTATTGCTGCTGCTGCTGCTGCTGCTGCTGCTGACCAACAGTGGACGATTCGTGCCTGGATTCGCGTGATTCGCGAATCGGAGGCTTCACACTTTGAACGCGCTGAAGAAGGCGCCCGATGGGCTCATCCAAGGGGATGGGTTCGAAGTCAGATTTTCAGATTCGACTCGTTTTTGTTTTGTCTACATGGTGGTTTGCAGCCCAAAAACGAGGCTACCGGGACCAATAAAAAAGGCCGGACTATCAACGGTACATACTTTTGTGAAAAACAAACACATGCACCTTGCAGACTTACATTGGAATCCAGGGAGACAAAGCCAACACATGTTTTTGGGACAAGTGCTGCGATCTCCCTTGACAGTAGCCAGCAAAGAAGCGAGTGTCCGTTTGTTTCCTTCATGCAATCTCACTGGGGCAAGGTTGATGCTGCAGACCATCGATCAGGGGAACTGTTTATTCTTTGCTGCAATGTCTAGGTAGTCCATCCCACTCGAATTCTTGCATGGCATTCAGTTCCGGCCACAAAGGGAGTGCGCATTCAATACAACATGACTGATGGCCACCTGGCCAGCTGCCGAGAGTGTAAGGCAACACATTCGGTAGTTGCCCAAGGTCCGGGGGGTTGATTATGAACATTGGATCAAGTGCTTGATCATGGGGATGTGCAACATTTTCTATTCATTCCAGAGACTGAACATTCGCCCGTAGACTTCCTTCGCAAGGAGTGAACATTGCAGCATGGTCGGGGCCCCGTATACAAGCCTACAAATCAACATGCAGCCCAAATCAACATGCAGCCCAAACAACCGCCCCTTTTGAGAGGATTTTGGGCATCATGCAAACTTGCATAAGAGCATGGGGTGTTTCCAAATGGGTTTTATTTCATGTGATGCCGTTGCTCATGTTGCAGCCTCGACTTCGCGACTCCCGCCTGCGCCCCGCTTCCCAGTTAATTGCGGTCCACCAGTCTGACCCCAAAATGGAACCTGGCTAAATTGGATCAAGGACTACAAAATTGCGGTCTGCTGGTGGTGTAATTCTGACCCACCGCCAAATGGCCCGTAACCTTCTCGAGCAGGCAGAATGCGGCATAGTCACTGGCGACAATACCACCGGCATGAGGCCAAGCAAACGCAGGATGGCGAACAAATCATGCAACTGCGCATCACTGGCTTGGCTCTTTTGAACATGCATATTCCTTTTCTGGAGGCACACCTCATGGACATCGCCTATTTTTGGGGCAGACAAGCCGAGCACAACTGGACTGAGAACAGCACCGACTGAGAACAGCTCAGAAATTGACGGAGTTAGAAGCACCACTTGAATGTCCGGCCAAAATAGTACGTTGAACCCAGGTTATAACCCCCCCACTTACAAGTCCCTTTAAGTGGGGTTCACAAGTGGCTAGCCACCTACTAACTTGGCGAAGACACCCCAGCGGCCTCCATCGATGGCCATGGCAGTTCTTGCAGGCTCGCGTTGCTTCCTTGCTTGGTGCTGGGCCTGAAATTCAAAGAGTCCCTTCCTTTTTGTCCGAGGCACCTGCCAGCGTGCGACACTCAGGTGTTGGCACACACCTGCGCGTGCAGTGCACGTGTCTACGCCCGAAATCATTGCGAAGCGAAACGGAGCGTTTTGCTCAAGCTTGCAATTAGGCCACCCTTGAAAGAAGCATGTTGCGCACCCGAAACGAGGCGCCATGCTCCATGCTTTCTTTGCAGCAAGTGTCACGCCCGCGTTTTTTCCCCCAATTTTTTTCACATCAGTCAACCCTTGGCATCGTGTGACGTGAGAAATTTCCGTCGCTCGCGACTGGCGCCATGGCTGGCGGATACCCTGCGGGCAGCGCCCCAGCCCCGCTGGCCCGGTGGAAGGGTTGGGGGATGGACGCGTTGTTTTTTTTGCACAAGTCTGGGGAAATGGTTTGGATGCTTCGGGACGGCTTGGTTTGGATGAGTTGGATGAATTTTGGCCTCCTTTGAAAGCAGAAATGACGGCACCACGTCCGAACTAAAACTAACCGTGAGAGGTCGGGTGAAGAGGACACACACACACACACAGAGCAGCACCCTCGGTGCGATCGAAGGGGTCGCCTTTGTGCTCCATGGGCGTGACCATGCGGTTCTCAGTCCCAACGAAGCCATGACCAATTTTGGGTTTGTGGGGACCCGTTCGGGTTTTCTTCTTCAAGGAAAGCGCCAGGATGGTCATTTTTAACTGATTCCCGAAATCCGAGAGCTAGCACACGCACACATGTTTTTGAGTGAGTCCATTTTTCACCCCCAAAGTTTGGTTCGGGCCTCCCGACAAAAAGGGAAGAAACAAACACATAAGTAGCCTACTTCTAGCTGTCTAGCTCCCTCTAGGCCTTGAGACCCCTGACCCCCCCATCAGGTGGAGGATCTGCAGAAGAAGCGCGAGGAGCTGCGAAAGGAGCTCTTGAAGATCGAGGCGCAGATCGTGGAGGAGGAGGCGAGCGCACGACTCCATTGAATCCATCGAGATCGGGGTCAATCCTGGTGTTGGAAAAAAAAGAACCCGGGTTTCGGAGGGCGGAGGGAGGGATATTTTTGTGGCTCGTGGTGATTGTTTTCTTCTTGGAAGGGCTGGAGCCCCCCAAGTTTTTTTTTTTTTTGGGGGGGGTTGGAGCCCCAAAAGCCAAAGGGGGGGTTCAACGTTTTTTGGTCGTTTTGGTTTGTATTTGCAACCCATGGGTACCCTCCAAAAAGGACGCAGCCGTGCCTTGGAGCCTTGGAGCCGCATCGGTGGCTGGGAGGTGCGGTCAGGGGTGGTTCTCCATTTACCCTCTAAAGAACCAGCGGTTCAAGTGTTTAATGCAATCCAAAGCACCAACCAAGGGATACCTGACGCATTGCAGAGCATGGCCCCTTCTTCGGTGCAAACGCCCAAGACGAGTTGTGGCAAAAGCGGCGGGGGAGGTTTGGTCCCCAGCCTGGGCTGGTGACCGTCTCAGGCGCTTCTGCGGCAGAATGCCCTGCACCACAGGCCCAGCTACTCGCTGCTGAAGGGCGAGTCTGAGGACCCGATCGATGTCTTTCCCCGGGTGTTTTTTTTGGGGCTCCGTTTTAACAAATGCGGCTCCATTTGGGGCTCCATTTTATTGGTTTTTTGGGGCTGCATTTTTGGGGCTCCATTTTTTGGGGGCTACAACTACCCTCCCATCCACAAACATGGAGCCTGACTGAGAGGTGCGAAAGGGCTATTTGCCTGCACGGGACCCTCCGGGAGGTTTCCATGTTGGTGGACAGGAGGGTAGCTACAGCATTTCTTCGTACTGGAAGATGGGTAGCCTATCAGTCAACTGAGCTCTGCCCTTGATTTTGGGTTGGTACTTTGCCGAACATCTTTGGTTGTTGCTTCTTGAGTTGCGTGGTGCGACAAGCTCGATTTGAACGTTTTGGGCAAAGCGACCTCAACGCTGGAAACGTCGCCAACCTGTTTTCTTCAACCCTGGTTGAGATAGCAGGATAAACCAAAGGCCATGTCACGGGCCATTTGCTCAGCACTGCAGACGACACGGACACCTGCAGGGTCTGAAAGGATGCAGGGCGCCAATGGGCCTCTCCGCGTTTTTTTCTTCTCTTCAATATAGTTCTTTGGGGTAGGGCTTATGCAAGCCTTTATCACCATTTTAGCATAGGAGGGGCGCTTGCCGTTTTTCTTTTTTTCCAAAACAGGGGTCTGCCGCGGCCTCGTTCGGGAGCTCAAAGGAGGTTGGGTCTCAAGTCTTACCCCTCACTTGAGCCACAATCAAAACCCGGGTAGATGAAGGTCCGAAGGTTAGTAAGGGACAATCCCAGCCAGAACTAGTTGCGGGGATCCGCCTTCAAAATTCTTTACATGGCTCTGGGTGGATGCCTTTTGCCTCTCCCGAAAGAATTCGTTGGATCCCAAGTTGGCTGTGAGGTCTCTTGTATCAAAGTCACCCAGCTGACTCCAGCTGACTTTCATACCCTCCCACTAATTAGCATAGAACCTGACTGAGGCTTCCTTTAAAAGGAACTTGGTTTTCCACCAGGACACTAATTTTGACCCTGGATGGCTAAGTCCCTTCAAAAAGTGGTCCGAATCCCACTAAAACCCAGAAACTGGACACCCCCCTATACTTTTAAGCGGGTTTTTCCAAAACAAGGGACACCCACCCCATGTCAATCAACAGGGATTTATTGCTCTGGGGCCAACATGGCGGCATGGCCATGGGTCCAAATCCCATACCCCCAGTGAACATCCCAATCCCCACTAAAATAGGTTCTATACTGGGTGGCCACTATAGACTAAAATGGGCGGTGAATTAATTCACCTACCCCAAAATGGGATCTTATGGGTTTGGCCAACCACAGCCACATTGGCGTAGCTGGACTCCAGATCTCGCGCCAGGATGCCGCCCCGAGCACCATGGTGCGGCAGGTGAGCCCGCAGGACTTCGACGCGGTGCTGAGGCGATTCGGTCGAGCGGTTTGGTGGTAGCACCGGCCACATTGTTGGTTGGAGGTAGGTAGTGGGTGGGTGGGTGGGTGGGTGGGTGGGTGGGTGGGTGGGCGGGTGGGTTGGGTTGGGTTGGGTGGGTGGCGGGTGGGGGTGGGTGGGTTGGGTTGCGTGGGTGGGCGGGTGGGTGGGTGGGTGGGTTGGGTTGGGTTGGGTGGGTGGGCGGGCGGGTGGGTTGGGTTGGGTGGGTGGGCGGGTGGGTGGGTGGGTGGGTGGGTTGGGTTGGGTGGGTGGGCGGGCGGGTGGGTGGGTGGGTGGGGTTGGGTGGGTGGGTGGGGGGGTTGGGTGGGTGGGTGGGCGGGTGGGTTGGGTTGGGTGGGTGGGCGGGTGGGTGGGTGGGTGGGTTGGGTTGGGTGGGTGGGTGGGTGGGCGGGGGGTTGGTTGGTTGGTTGGTTGGTTGGTTGGTTGGTTGGTTGGTTGGTTGGTTGGTTGGTTGGTTGGTTGGTTGGTTGGTTGGTTGGTGATTAGATTATACAGGGGGAGTCAGCTTTCTTGTCGCATTTGTTTTGTCTAATCCTTTTCATGGCAGGGGCCTCTAATGATTCAAGGCCTCTCAGGCTCAAGCTGAGACGTCCTGGGTCTGTGACGGTTGGACAGTTGGTTTGGCCCAGCGTTTGGGCGGAGTTGTTTCCTTTTTGCAGAAATGGTTTCTTTGATGTGCTTTCTTGTCGCTGTGCTTCATTGATAGGGCTCCGAACCCGAAACTGGGGCCGCCGTCGCCTCTTTGGAGCTTGGGATTTGGTGTCGTGTCGAGGGACTTCCCGAGCTTGGTCATCGAGCCCATCGGCTCCTTCAACCACTGGGACCGGCGCGAGCCGCTCGGCCGTTCGGCCGGCTGGGAGCTGTTCTGCCTCCGAGCGGATGCTGCCTGAGCAGGTTTTGGTTCAGGGAAGCAAGGCAACCTCATTGACCCACGTCCCGAGTGAGCCTATTGAGGGCTTCTGGAAAGTACTTTCGGCCTGGGAGAAGAATCTCGAGGATGTCGCAGTACCTTCGGCCTTTCGCTTTCAACAGTCACTAGGGAATAAACCCACGCCTGAGCTCATAGGTTGAGCATCGCCTCCTGAAGCTCCGAGTTGTACTCGCGGCTGACGCGTCTGAGGTGCGCTGTGGCGAATCCCGAGGAGTGGAAGGCCGTCTGCAGCAAGTACCAGAAGGCGCTCGTCTCGCTGGGAGAGCCAACTGAGCGGTTGAAGAAGGGCTTCCACAGCGTTGTGGGATCACTCGGGGTATATCCAACCACTTCTGTGATGCAAAGTTGGAATCCCCTCTTATGGGAGCTTCGTCTTTGGGAGGCTCTTTTTGTTGTCTCACAGATTCGTGGATTCCATTTCCTGCGCGTTTCGTTTCCACAAGAAGCAAACTTCCGGACGATCGATCGGACTCCTCCAGTCGGGCTGGAACGGAACACAAGTTGGCAACTGGCCGAGTCTGTCAGATTTCTCCCGCACCTGTAGGCTTTCGGATGTCATAAGGGGGGGCGTAACACAGGCGGACCCCCCAAAAAAGCTGGTGGTTTTCCTTTTCATTTTGAACCCCCAAAGAGGGAATCGAGCTTCGCCTCAGCTCAGGAGGTGCTGAAGGGAAAGGCCCAGATCCCAAAGGTGATCCATCAGATTTGGATCGGGCCCAAGGACCGATCGGGCTTTGCGCTTTGGAGGCATGTCTTTGGGGTCGGCCAGTGGCTGAACAATGTGACCAAAAAGGAAGAATCCCTGTGAGACTGACCATTCTTGGACTGGGGCTCCAGTTGGATGCACGAAACAGAGTGCCATGAAACGAGTCCAATCGTCGGAGAGTACGAGGAGCCTCCCTGCCTCTGGATTGACACCTTCCGCGTGGAGTATTTGGCGTCGCATCCCGGCTGGGGCTTTCACCTCTGGAGCGACGACGAGGCGATGGATCGCGACGGGAGACGAGTTGGGCAGAAAGCGGATGCTGCACACATTGGCCACCCACCTAAATGACTATGAATTTTAATAAGGGACCCTTTGGTGGACATCATTTACATGGGGATTCATGTCCACCAATCAGTTTTGAGGTGGTTCTCTATTAACATGGGTCAACTGACTCTCCTTAGAACCCAACAGAGAAAACAGTTGGGAGCCTGAGGCAGGTAGAACGCAAAATTGTAAAGGGCATCAATCAGCGGTAGCAGCCATTGTGCTGAGCCTGCGCCACAGCAATCGTTTGGATCATGTTTGGCGGCCACACTTGACCGTTCTTTTCTGTAATGGGACCATTCTTCTTTCGAGACTTCGGGTTGCAAGTGCTAGCGGTTTCCAGAGCGACCTTTGCTTGAAATGGTGCGGAATGTCATGCCACTTGGGTGATGCAGAGCGTGTAGAACATTGCTGTCCTTTGTTGTTCTTGCAATGCTTCAAGCTTCTGCGGCAGATGCAAGCCGAGGCTGGCGCCGCATGAGGTACACTTACCAAAAAGCCAAGGGAGGGGGGGGGGTACTCACCATCTCCGAATTCTCGTGGGCGCACTGAACCGCCGTTGTTTCCCGCACCTCTGGTTCTCATGCTGGCGCCTCACGTGCGCCAGCGAGCAGCTTGCAGCTTGCAGGTGGCGAGGCTGCCGATGATCAATGAGGAGATCTACAACAAGGCCAGAGGGGCACCAACAGAATTCCTTGGTGCGAGAGATGCCGGGAATGAACAAATTGGAGTCAGAACCCCCGAGGAAAAAAACAACCATCCGACGAAAAGTGGTTTCCTTTAAGGGGATCATTCCCTGGGATCATTCCCGCAGTCCCTGAGCACCAGCAAGAGTCTCTCGATATGGAAAGAGCCACTGGCAGATTGTCTAGAGAACTCGCCGTATTGATAAGTTGACGCAGCAGAAGACAGATAGACAGATGCACGTTTGCTGTGATAGGGGGCATTTGCTGGATCATGAACAGATGCGGTGCAGCTGCATGGCAGCGAGGTTTTTTTGGAGCCGGGGAATTCATGGGTTGCATGGCTCATGTGGCAAGCACAAAAGTGCTCACGGCAAGCACCAGCACGTCGTATTTATCAGACCACATCCACCACTGAGCATGGCGGCACGCGTAGACTGCATGAGTAGATTTGTTCGCGCTAGGCGTGAGCGATGCAGCCACGCAATCTTCACAAAGTGCCACGCAGGCCATACTCAACAGTCCTGAATTGCCTTCTTTGCCACTTGGGCTGTCACAGTGACAAGCACGTTGTCATTCCCCAGCCCCAGCACGTCCACCCACTTCGGCCCTATTTCACCTTCTGCGGGCAGACTGTTGCAAGAACTCGCTGGCAGACCTTCTTCGGGCTCCAAGAAGCCGTGTCACGCAAATCAGTTGCACCCTCATTCGTCACTGTGGGCTAGGCGACTTGGAGCTCCAGGTTGAGTCGCAACGCTTGCAGTCCAGTTGAGTGGCGCAGGGCTTTAAAGGTTGGAGCTCGGCTTGACCGCCGGAGAGGGATTGGGTTGGTTGAGGCTTGAACCTGGTTGAGGCCAGCTTGAAACCAGCAGTGCACGACATGCTGACTCACACGCCATGGACCGGCTGGTGACCCATGGAGCCACTCCTAGGAACGAGTCACTGGCCCAAAAAGGTTTGTCAAGAGCTGAGCTGAGTAAGAGCTTGTCCCACCTTGTTGTAGGAACTCCTAGCTTTGACTTCCTCACCCCACATAAATGACTCCTAGACTACGAAGCCTGGTTGCAAGGCGCTGGCCAGGTACACTGGTACACCCATCACTGGATTTAAGGGAAGGTAGGCATGCCATCAGAGAAAAGATGCACTCCGTTTCAATCTTCTAAACGTCAGAAGAAACTTGCTTGTAGCGCCCAGAAAGGAGGCTGCTCCGAGCCTTTGAAACGTGACCACAACACAAGGGCAAAGAAGTCGGCTTGGTTTTCTCGAGCTACGCACTCAGAGGAAGCAGCCGGTTGGTGACAAACCGATCATTGCAAAGAAGGGACAAGGAACCAAGCCCTACAACCTGAGAACTGCAAACTGTGAGACACACACAGACACACACACACACACACAGAGACATGTCCCTGCCCCAAGTCTTCTCAACCATGCATTCTGTACCTCCCTTTCTTCGCGCGGCTCAGCCTCCTCAAAGCCGGCTAACCGCGAGTCAGTCCGCGAATGTCCGCGACTCCGCCCATCGAGCCTCGAGCGTAGCTGGCAGGAGCGGATGTGGCAGTGCAAGGCGGACATTTTGCGCTTGGAGTTTCTGTGGCACCACGGGGGGATGTACGTGGACGCCGATATGATCTCAGTGGAGCAGCCGGGGCCCTGGGAGAGAGGGGGTCAACGGCTGTTGGGGCTGTTGGACCCGTTTGTGTTGGGCCCAACCCGATTCAGTGATGTTTCCCCTTTTGGGTGGTTTGCAACGTCACCTTTTGGGCAATATTCATTCATATCTTCTAAAAATAGATTCATAATTCCAAGGAAGAGACAGGTAATCAAGTGATTTATCTTTTAGGATTTCCTGCTTTCCTCTTTCCTCATCTCTATTTTTGGCAGTAGGGAAAGGACTTGACCAGATGACAAGGAATAGAAATAGATGCTGAGGAAGGAAGATGAAAGAAAAGAACCTATCCAATGTTAGTCCTCACCTGATGAAGGGAGATGGTGAGGGGTAGAGAGTGGATAGGAGAATGAAAAAGATGGCCGTGAACGAGGATTATCTCATAGACGAGAGAGGGAGACATCAGATAACCGTCTATGACCAAGATTTCTTGAGTGCTAACAGCCATCTCTTTCTATCTCACTCTCTCTCACCGCCGCTCGGTTCGTGTCCTCTTCCTTCATCTCATGGACACTCCCGAACGAAGAGAGGAGTGGGAATGGGAGATGGGATTCGCCGTCACAGGCGACAGGGGGTTCCCTATGTTTCCCTTTTCATCACACCAAGTGGCCTTTCCCCAAGGGCTGAGGTTTCCAAGGGCCCAAAAAACAAACGCGATGGGTTCCGAGACTTGGAGCGGGCCAAAGAAAGTGGTGAGGAAGAGCCTGGACAAAATCCTGGACCTGGGCAACGAGACTGGGTGGGTCATTGCCTATGAGCCGGACACCAAGGACGTTTGGGTGGATTAAGGTGGGGTCACGTTGGGGTGGGCCGGTGTGCTTCGCGCTTCGTTATTCCTGGAATCAGATCACTGGCAGCGTCGGGCCAAACATCTCAAGGTCAACGCCCCCTGCACTACTGACATGCACGTACGGCAAACCTCCGGGCATCCCCATCGATGGCACGCTGGCGCTGAATGGTATTGCTGGAGTACTGGTTCTGATATGCCCCGCATTGCCGGTATGCCTGGCATTCATTGTTGGTATTTTCTGGAATCCCTGGCATTTGCTGCAATCCGCGCACTTGCAGTCTGCTGGAAGGGTTCCCCACTTCATCCATCAGCTCAAGACTGCAGAGGGCTAGCAAACAGGAAGTGCACGCTTCTGCATTCCCGGCATTCCCGGCATTCCTGGCATTCCTGGCATGCCGGCCATCACTGCATCGCCTCGTTAAGCATTCACTTGCACTCGCTAACATTCACTAGCCTTCACGGGCATAGTGGAATTCGCTGGCACTTTTGCATTGACGTGATGCGGGCGGGCAGTGACGTGTTTGATGCCAGTTCCGATGCCAGCAGTTCCACATCCTTGTCATTAACTAGTCGTGGCAGCTCATTTGATGTTCTTGCAATGGACAGATTTCCACCAAAAACATGGACACACATGGTTATACGTGCTCTAAACATGCGTGATCTAGTATGTGGCCTATTGGTGGGGTATGCTCAGTTGGTTGCAAACGGGTATGTCACATTGCAGCAAACGCGCGGCGTTTCCCTGGCAGGAATTTCAGCAAGGTAAGAATCATTGCCAGAAGGACAAGTGTCAACGAGCCAACAGCATTTTCAATTCCACCAGCATTGCGAGGGTCGCAGCGTCGACATCATCAGCGTGTCTCAAAGCAATCAGCATCGCAGGAACCACTCAATTTTCAGCAGCATCAGAAAGGTTGATTAGCTAGCGTCACATCTTGTGCGTGGTGCAGCAGCAGAAACACCAGCTTGACCATTGTCACCAGCAATCGAAGTCCCTAGAACTCCGCGTTCCTGTTTTGGGCGAGCCAGGGTGCGAACAAAGTGGCTCCAGAAGATGATTCGCGTGATTGGTGCAAGCACTCGGAACTCCCCAAGCGGGTCCCCTGAATGTTCAACAGCACCGGTGAGGACAAGCCGTACTCCATCCTGGGCAACTCAGTGACTCCTGCACAGCAAACGGAGCTGCCAGTGCAGTGCATGGGGCGTACGCTTTTGGGCCGCCCTTTGCCTGGGTTGAGAGGGAAACCAAAAGGAATACCACATCTTTGTGTTGGGGTCCCAGAATTATTGCAACCCATTTCGGTCATTTTTTTGGCTCAAAGTTTCGGGACAGTTTCCTAAAGACTAGGGGGCTTGTTCAGGCTTGCGGCGGTACGCAAGGGTGGCTTGTTTGAGGCTGGAAGCCGTTTCGGCTGGAGCCCTGTTTAACGTGGCGCTGCATTGAATTCGCCATGGGAATTGAAAGCCATGGCCAGGGAGAAGGACAAGTGACTGGCAAGCGTGGCAAAGAACGGCCTGGAGCTGTGTGACGTGCCTGGATGGAGGCGGCTGAGGACGGCCAAGCGCTGGGGTTCGTCTCGGAGGAGCTGCTCGGCGAGCGGGAGTCCCTGTCGCCGCGGAGCTCCCCAGAGACTGGCAAGCGTGGCAAAGAACGGCATGGAGCCGTGTGACTGCGTGGAGGTGGCTGAGGACGGCCGAAGCGCTGGGGTTCGTCTCGGAGGAGCTGCTCGGCGAGCGGGAGTCCCTGTCGCCGCGGAGCTCCCCAGAGACTGGCAAGCGTGGCAAAGAACGGCATGGAGCCGTGTGACTGCGTGGAGGTGGCTGAGGACGGCCAAGCGCTGGGGTTCGTCTCGGAGGAGCTGCTCGGCGAGCGAGAGTCCCTGTCGCCGCGGAGCCCCCCAGAGACTGGCAAGCGTGGCAAAGAACGGCATGGAGCCGTGTGACTGCGTGGAGGTGGCTGAGGACGGCCAAGCGCTGGGGTTCGTCTCGGAGGAGCTGCTCGGCGAGCGGGAGTCCCTGTCGCCGCGGAGCTCCCCAGAGACTGGCAAGCGTGGCAAAGAACGGCATGGAGCCGTGTGACTGCGTGGAGGTGGCTGAGGACGGCCAAGCGCTGGAGTTCGTCTTGGAGGAGCTGCGCGGCGAGCGGGAGTCCCTGTCGCCGCGGAGCTCCTCGGAGCTGGAGGCGGGTGAAAAAGACCTGGAAGCGCCTCAGAGCAGCACGAGGACCAGGGCTTTGTTTTGGAGGCGGTGAAGAAGACTTCACTGCCTTCATGACAAAGACGCGAGCAGCAGTGAAGTGGGCCAGCCAGTGCTCAGGGAGGAAGGCGTTCTTGCAGCAGTAGCATCAGGGAGAGAGAGGTCCTCGCCACCTGCACAAGTAGCATACGGCTGAGGCGAAGGAGCCGCAACAGTGTGGTTTGACATCAAACCACACCGTGGTGGTTCTGGCGACTTGACTGACTTTGGCAGGTGGATGGCAGGAACCGCGGCATCCTGTTGGTTTGCCTCCCACTGGATCGCTCGACGCACCTGGAAGCTTGCAAGAAGTCCTTCAATGGCTGCATGGGCTGGGGCCGCGGAAAGATCATCGTACTTGGAGCTGGCACGTTTGACCGCAGAATGTTTTCCATGCCATGAAGGATCAACCCAGCCCTCACCAAGTGATGCAGCAACTTGCAACTCAGCTTCGCCTCAACAGGTTTGAAGGTTCCTGCATGGTTTTTCCGAATCCACAGTCATAGGCCGAGTCCACAGCTCTTGGCTGGAGGATAATTTTCAATTGGCTGTGGACAATTGTTCTCCAGCCAGGCTTTGACGGAAAAGGGCCTACATGAGATTGACGTTGCGCTTTGCCCTTTTGACCTTGACACAGTCCTATGTTTCAAAGTTCTCTAAATTTGGGCTAGGAATTTGCCCAACCCTGCTGGACATGCCCAGAACGCTCGAGTAGATGCTTGGTGCTCAACCATGGAAGCGCCGGCGCGCGTTTTTTCACAGTGTCCGACAACATGCTTTGTTGTCAAAGTTCCATGTGCCAACTTGCATTGGTTTTCTGGATGGCGCTTTGTGGCAGGGATTGAACTTGGTCTCACTGGGCCCCCTAAGGCGCAACCCGGTGTCATGTGAAGGGACTCTGGAAGACTTGCCTTGGCGATTCTTCTTTCCCCGTTAAGTCAAGCCTAAGGGCACTGTCAAAAAGCACATGGGGTCCATGCACGTGAGTCCATGGATTAGCGGCCCAAGCAACCGCTTTGGGCCTGACTTTGACGGTGAACTCACGAGGCTCGGGGCAGTGAGGTGGGATTTGGAGACAAGCCAAAGTGGGACTGCCCCGCCGCTCCCTTGGTGCACATGAAGCAACACCGGGTCGCTTAATCGCGATTCTTTTGTTGGGAGATCTGAACATTGTGTGTTTTCCCTGTTTTGGGGGGATCCTTCTTTTCGCCTACATTCAAAGGTTTATGTTGAGTGTGACACTTTCCAGAACCTGGCCAAAGTGGCCTGTTTTGCGCCTTGCTTTGCCCAGGATTGCCTGCACTCCGCACCACCCGCTGACGCTGATGCTGATACTCTACTTGAAGCAAACTTTCCACCACAAGCGCGATCACATAGATGCCTTATGCTCAGACAGTGATCGTCTCTCGCACTTTTTGTTGGCAGGCGTTCCACATCACTCTGGGCCTGGGAAATTCCTTGTCAATTGAGTCAGAGGTGTCTCGTTGTGGTGTTCTTTGCTTGACTTCCTGTTGTTTCTTCAGAGTTGCCCGCTGTTCCTGGGTTCCCAAGTCGGACTCGGGAGACGCATGGGCACGCAATTGCGCCGTCAACCAATCCACGACAGCCTCCGGCGCTTCCAAACGAAGTCTTCGCCGGCAATGTCTGGCCCTTGTCGAGTCCAGTTCATTGTGCGTGCGTGACAGGTTTTTAGAGGCTCGGTGGGCTTTTCGGGAGATTGGTCAGTCGGGAAGCGAAAGGGACGCCTCCTATTTTGGTGCCTTGAAGTTGGTGCTTCCAGTGAAACCAAAGGGCCGCCCCGTTTTTTTCTTCTCCAGCTTGCCACCTGGGCAGCCTCCAATTGGTGGGGGTCTCGGTCTCGTTTGTTTCTTCTTGTTGCACGCATCAGATATGGCCGTGGGTCAAGACCAATGAGATCCCATTTTGGGGCAGGTGCACCACCCATGCTGGTCTATTTTAGTGGTTGGATTGGGATGTTCACTGGGGGTACGATTCGAGTTTTGATCCATGGCCATATGAGCCAACCAAGACATGGTTGGAGGTCTTCCCGCAGCGCCTTTTCCAAGTCGTCTCTTTTCCAGTTCCCATGTGGCTGTGGATCAGAAATAGGTGCCCAAACAGGACCCCTGATAAATGGAAACATGGACTCCTTCCTGCAGTCCAATTCCTGGTGAAAACCATAAACCAAACATGGACTCCTTCCAGTGTCCATGGACTTCTTGTTATCCATGTGCGGTGGTTTTTTTTGACCCACACCCCTGTGAAAAAAAAATCAAGACGACGACGAGAAGCCGCCGCTGGAGGTCTTTCCCAGTTATGCGAAAACATCAGGTCTTCGCGGTGACGGGGCCGGTGATGTACACCAAGTGCCTGGTGGACAGCAAGATGCCCATCTCCCTCGCGCCGCAGGAGTGGCTCTACCCGGCCGCTTGGAGCAAGCGGCAGAGAAGCGGGAGCGGGTTGAAAAGGGGAACCCGTGCTAGAGAGAGTTTTTTTCAGGGAAGCCGAAGAGCGATTTTTTGGGTGTGTGTCCATTTTTTTGGGGGTAGTCTTTCTTTGGGTTGTTTTTTTAAAGGGAAACCAAGAGGGACACCACGATTTTGGGGGGTCGTCACCGGAATGACCAGGTGTGAGAACTTTTCAAGCACAAACCCTGCAGGGCAGGAGCCCACATTTGTGTGTTTGGGAGCATGCTCTTCGTAATTTGTCAACTTGACTTCTGCCAGAACTTGAGCATTATGGACGAAAGCGATCATGAGGATCACTTTATCTGCCATTCGTTTGAGGAAGAGAACAGAAGCGGCACGGTTGAGCAGGGGCTTCTTATTTACTGTCCGGCTCCCGTATCGAGCCAGGATAGACTTAGGAACCGCACCGCCACAATCAAGTCGCGGATGAAAGGCTAGGGGACGTTCCCAGACATCCGCATAGGTGGGGATCTGATTTGGGTTAACATGGTTCCAGGTGGAGGTCAGGGGACCTTCCCATAGGTGCGGATCTGAGCGCCCTTTTGGTTCACGTGGTAGGTTGAGCCCGGGACTCCAGGCCTTCCATTATGTGCCGAACCCGGATGCGATCAACTTCGCCGCCTTTCCGAAGTGTCTGATGCCTCT